TGCCCGTTGGGTAAGTGAAACCAAAGCGCTAGAGAAGAAGCTTTATCAGATGTAATTACAAAACAATTAAATAAGAAGGAAAAGTCCATCTGCCATCTCACATTAACCCTACAAAATGTGATTTGACTTGTTGCTCCTCCTCCTTCCCCTCCCCCCTTTTATTTTCGATGCTGTTGAGTAATGCCGCCTGGACTCTGGATGTACATTGTTTTGTAGCAGTCTGAGCTGTTTGATACTGACGTCATGGTGATTTTTCCCCCCTTGCACATCTTACTCAGAGTTACTGAACTCCGGTTTGGCTGGTTTTATTAATGCACTTCCTGCCCCCTACTTCCTCTCCTACTTTTCCTCTTTTCCAAACCTGTTTAGAGCTATGACTGTTATTCCTTTGACCTTGACAGCTCTCCTTCCCGCCCATGACACCTTTCCTGACTTTCTCTTTTCTTTTCCCCCACCTTTTTGTCCTCTTTACCCAAGTTCTGTACCTGTCCTTTTCCCTCTTCCTTTCCTGCCCTTTCTCTCAGTTATATGCAGCTCTTGGTCTCTTTTTGCTGACTGGTGGTTTCTGATTGGTTCTGGCCATTTTTCTTTTAAGTGCTTGGGTGCATTCTGCTCTGGCAGCCAGTGTCAGCTCTTGCCCATTCTAATCCTTGTCTGTGAGAGCCTTGCCCTTTATTTTCTCCCTTCTTTCCAAAGTCGATTGTTTTTTTTTTCTTTATTTGTGTGTGTGTGTTTTTAACTGCATGCTCTCAGTCTCATCATTGTTGTATTCCATTCTTTCTTTTTAAATGTGAAATGTTTGTATTATTTGGTGGGTCAAACTAGAGTAAATGGAGTTTCAAGCTCTTTTCTTCATGTGGTCATATTATCACTATACAAATCCTAAAAGATATTAAGGCATGTTTTAGTTCCAGTTCTACCTAAAATTGGTCTTTTTATAACACAATTTATCAGTCTACAAATTTAACATAATGTAAATCCCCAGAGGCAAAGTAAGATATATATTCGAATGTTTTATAATTTCTTTTTAAAACTGGCCTGTTCTTTGACCTCACAATACTGTATAATCAAGTTCTATGGTGAGGCTTCACCTCCATGCAAGAGCTCTGAGGCTGGTTCTGACACGGGCCGCAGTATCCTGACCTCTGCGCCCCGTTCATCTTTTCTTCATCAACACCGTCTTTGTAATACCTGCTTAGCACCGAGAATGCTTTATGTTATGCCATTCACAATAAGAGTAGAGAATACCATAAACAAAAGAAACCTAAGCTTTATTTTTTTAATTAAGTGCCTCATTTAAAAGCCTTCTGAAAACTTTATTCATAAGTAGGTAGACCACAGAGTCTAGAAAATTCTGAAAACCTGTCAACATGGTAATCTAAGTCCCTATATGTGTTGACTAACTTCAAACAGTAAAATCTTATATAAACATCCCAAAAATGCTGAACATGAGAATAAAGAGAAATCCTCAGATTCATTTTCTTCCTGCAGATTCATTTTCTGACCCATGTGGGAAGCCTCTGTTTTATTAATGAACTTCAGAGTTCATATGCAAACAGAATTGTTTTCAATTTGTTTTGTCCCCATATTTTCCTTAATGCAGAGACTTCTCTGTTTAAGAGCTTTCCAAAGAACTAGCAAATGTAATTTGTCTCTGGATACACGGGGCGGTAAAGTCGCCCTGGTTTCCCATTTGGAGACTAAGAAACTGCATTTTACTCTTGTTAGCCTCATTGAATAATAAATACTTTAATTAAAGTACTATATATTAATATTTTATATTGCTATATTATTTAAATCAGTGGTCTCATTGTAAACTGAGTACTGTGTTACTGGATGAGCAACTCCATGTTCCTTAATGTGGTCTGCTTCCTCCCTCCCCCTCTTCCTATTTTTAGGTGAATAATGCTACAGCACGTGTAATGACCAATAAGAAGATGGTCACACCATATGCAAATGGTAAGAGCACAAGTCATTTTCAGAGTGATGTCAAAGAGTCTTGATTTCAGTCTCAAAGTAGTTTGTTTCATTGACATTGAAGTATTTTCTTTACCTAGAAGGGTATTTTATTTTCAGAAATTAACTTTTTTCTTAGAATGAAGCTAAGGTTTTTAGTTATTAAGGTGTTACGGTCGCAGTAAAGATCATCTTGTATAGTGGGAACATGTCATTTGAGGTAGAACCCACCAGAGCATAGAGCACCCCCTTTATAGCTGCCATAGTTCTTTGTAACATATTAGGCTTGTCGGTAACTCCCCGGATGCCCGGGAGCTCTCCCTTTTACTACTGATTTCTACTCATCTGAGCGTGAGTGGAATGACTCTTGACCCTTTGTTCCCCTTTTTTCTAGCGGTAACAGCCGTGAGTTCTGTGCACGTGCGTGTGTGTTCTATTTTCTGTTCCATGACTACATGTTAATATAGTGAGTTTTATAAATGTTTTTCATTGAGAAGGAAATTTTCTGTGACTATTTTATCTAACGAACACTGCCACTTTTACATCAGTCGTCAAATTTAATCTAGACTCATGAGATGGGATGTAATTTTAATCTTTGGCATAATAGTGGTTTTGCATATTGTGTTTTTTTAGGACCATCTTGGTGGGACCATCTTGGTCCTGAAGGGTTGGGGGCCTGAGGCCTCCAGCTCTACTTTGGTCTGAGCAACTCCTCATTCTCTGTTGTATATTTTAGAGTCCTACGTAAGATTTATCTAGAATAAAAGGGAAATTTTCTTTTTTTATTGCTTCGTTAAAGTTTGAACCTACTGCTAGAGTATGACAGCACATGCTGGCAATGTCTTAAATAGAAGTGTAGTAGTATTGAGTCTTATGAAGTCTTCAGCAAACATGTAATGTCGCCTTTCAAACAGATGATACAAAATAGCATGATCTGCATTTTCCCCGCTCATTTCGGTGGTGTGTCATGTGATACCACCACTCTCACGTTACCTCTTGTTTTCTTCTTTTCACGATCACAAAAACAGAGGTGTCTACAGTTTTGATAAAAAAAACAGTGGAAACAGAAAAGGAGGACGAGGCAAAGTATGTCAGATTTCCTTTAGAGCCGGGGAGAAGGTGTGGCAGAAAGAGCCGCTGACTGGAATTCAGGGGACAGACGTTCTACTTCCAGACTTGACTCTGCATTTTACTCTGCGACACTGGGCCCGTTTCCTAACCAAGCTGATTCTGTTTTCATCGCTATAAATTAGCAGTCACAGAATTTTAGCACCAGAAGTCTCTTTAAAAGTCATCAAAACCCAACCCTCTTAGCTAATAATTATTTTGGAAATGAAGCCCTGAGCGATATTGTATTTACTCTTTATCCAGAGGTGATACCTGTCTTATAGCTCTCTTTGGGTTTTTGTGAAGGTCAAAGTGACATAAGCAACTGTGAAAATATATTGTAAATTGTACAAAACTAAACATTTTCAGAATATTGACAGCACATAGTTGTGTGCTGTTATAAGGTGCATTCACTGTGTGCATTTTAAAGGGAGTGCTTAAGTAGTACTCCCATTGGTAGGAAGGAAAAGGTCATATTTGAATATTATTCTAAAACAATACTTAAGCCTGATGGAGCCAGACCTACACCTGCAGTGTTAGAGGTTCTGACGGAGTGTGCTAGGTGCCTTTCTGGTGAATTCTCAGTCAGCCTTTTGGTTTTCGTTGGTTGGAGTCACTTGATTTGTCTGACATTGCAGAACATTTGTGCTTTTACAACTCCAGTAGGATATAAACCCAGATTTTGCCAAATTTTTTGTAGAATAATGAAGAGGCATTGTGAGCACATTAAAATAATGAATGGGGATTGGATTGACTCATAATGAATGGGTTTTCTCTTGAATAATGTCTTTGCTTGTAACCATTTAAACCTGGTAATTGACCTTTTCTTCTGTCCATTCATATCTTTATAGAGCAGCAGTGGCACAGTGTTAGGCCCTTAAGCTAATATAAAAGAAGTAAACCAAACAGCCAGTCTTAGGAAAAATAATAGGGCATGTTTGCTTATGAATAAAATTCAGTAAATATTTATTAATGTTTTATATGTAATTCTACTCTTTAATGATTGGTAGGCAGTAGTACATTTTTTTCTAACACTCGTCATAGTCCTATAAATATAAAAACAGGAATGAAGAAATACATATGACACCAAAGCTAATGTTTGGAAATACTTAAATGTGTAAGCTGATGTTCGACAGCAGTCTAGTATCCTTTAGCTAAAAGGTCTGATTAACTTAAATGTGTTCATCACACACCAAAATCTCAGAAGACACGCACTGAAGTTGGGAATGTACCTTGAGTTTTATTGTGGCATGTCTCTCCTTGTTGAGTCGATTAACTCCAGTGAAACCCCAATGAAAGGAGATTTCGGCTTACCCCAGATACCGTCAGCATGGTATAATTGAACATGAGTGCAAAGATCTAGGTCCAGTTTGAATTCACTCGAAGGAGGCCTGTATAAAACAACTAGAGCGGTAAACAGTGTTACGGTGATATAGAAGAAAGTACATCACAGTGTGGTATAGAACGACATAAACTGCATTCTGCCTTTTTCCTTTTCCTAAACAAAGACTAGGACATTAAGCAGTTCTATGAAAGACACTATACCAAACCCCAGGATTTATTTCTATTTCTTTTTCTTTTTCTCATTCCCTTTCCATCTTCCTCCCTCCCTCCCAATTTTTTTTCTCTGTCTCCCCTTTTCCCCTACCCTCCCTACCAACCCCTCATTATCCCTTGACTGTGCTTGTCCTGCTTACAGATAATCAGGTCTGGAAATGTCATCACCATCTCATATAAACCCCACCTGGGATTCTAAGGAAAAGTTGGTGATAAACAAAAATAAACCCAGAGTTGCCAGCTTGAACATTGCTCCTTTTCCCTGTATTCTTCGCCTAGTCTTAAATGCTCACTGTCCTCTCTTCCATTTCAGGTTGGAAATTAAGCCCAGTAGTTGGAGCTGTATATGGCCCTGAGTTATATGCAGGTAGTATTTAAGTTAATTTTTCCATGTGTGCTAATTAATTGTAACAACATCTGTTATTTGTCAACTTACTATCCCTTTGTAATCTTTTGGCATTTTTTAATTTTTTTAATGCAATCAGCATCCAGCTTTCAAGCAGACGTGTCCCTAGGCAATGACGCGGCAGTGCCCCTGTCGGGAAGAGGGGGCATTAACACTTACATTCCTTTAATCAGTAAGTAGCCTATGTTGGCCTGCCATGGAGTCTGACTGTAGTGAGGGAGCAGTGATGTGCTAGTGTTTTTCTTTGAAGCATAATCCACAACTGAAAAGGAGGCATTGTTGAGAGAGAGAAATGATGTCACAATGCCTTGTCCTGCTCAGCCAGTGCTAAACTCTTTCTGACCAAATGTGAAGATTGCCACAAAGCATGAACAGTTGGGAAAAGCAGAGGGTGGTGAGGGCATGTAAAGAACATTTTAATCTGTACTTGATAATAAAGAAAACAAAAGAAGTACGTATTTGCAAAATGTATTATATGTGTTCTCAGCAAGGCAGCTTTGGGCCCTCAGGTAGAGAGTATCATTTTAAAAGCACCTCCAGTATTATTGATTATTCTCAGCTCTGTCGCTATCTCTAAAGTCATTTTGACCTGAGCCATTTTGTTCTAGCAAAAGGTATAATTAAATAGAATCCAGTGGACACGGAATCAGTGTCTGCGTGCCTTCCAGAGAATAGCACGCATAAAATGCACCCTTAAACGGTGTCTGCCTCTTTGCTGATACAGGGCCACTTTACATTTCTCGATTCAAACATTTTAGATAAAGGAATTAAGTTGACTAACGAGATGAAATGTCTAAAGACTATTTCGTGCCTTAGAGTTTGGCACCATGTAAAAATAAAAGAATATTCTTATAAAGAATAATTATTATAAGCACATAATAATGTTTGGAAACAAGATTAATAGTTAGCCTGTTAAAGAGTTTATATCAATTGATTTAAACTGCCAGCAGAAATTAAAAGTCTCGTCTCTTATTATGGCAATAGTTCTCAGAGCGTCTTGATCTGCTTCTCAGCAGCTTACATTGTAATGCCAAAATTGGGAAGGAGCAGAGAAAACTCACTCCAGATTTCTGATGAACAAGGCATGGAACCATTAATTGTTGCATATCGAGTCTCTTCATTTCAGAAAAAATGTGAACATACCTTTTAAGTTTTCTATAGTTAGTTCAGAGCAAGTTATGATTGTATACCTGCTATTGAATGTAAGTTGACATTTCTGTCATATTTTGGGTCTCCCTTTAGTTCCTGGCTTTCCTTACCCAACTGCAGCCACCACGGCGGCCGCTTTCAGAGGAGCCCATCTGAGGGGCAGAGGGCGGACGGTGTATGGTGCAGTCCGCGCGGTACCTCCAACAGCCATTCCCGCCTATCCAGGGTAAGCGTTAGATTCCAAAATAAGCAGTTGGACAAGAAGATACCATGGCGCTCATAACTTCTGGGACATTGCCGTGCCACATAGCAGAGATTCTATGAATATTTGCAAATTAACGGATTAGGTGGCAAGAAAAGAACCAAAATACACCATCGTCAGAATGTAACAGATATCAATATATTATATAAATCTTCATTTTGGCCACCTTAAGCCCTCACGATAGTGGCTTGAGACAGTAGCCAGACCGTCTTGTGTTTACTAGCAGTGTGTTGGCATGGAGTTCACTCAGCATCGCACGAGTATGGATTAACACTACTGCAGAGAACCAAAATAGGAACTCAAGATTGTAGTACAAGTCTGCATCTGCTGTGTTCACCCCTCATCACCACCCTGGGTTGGGGCTGAGGCTACCACGTCTGCCCTCTCTTTCGGTTTCACTGCCTGGGTGGTGAGCAGCAGAGCTAGTTACCCACAATGGATTTGCTTTCTTTGTAGGAAACGGATTAAAAGAGGTTAATTCAAAGATGAACCAAGTCCAATTGAATCAAGGGAGAAAGGGAGAAGTAGGAAGAATTAAACTACAGTTGGCTTCTGAATGATGGTAAAACAACCGATGTAGCTGAGCATCCCTCACCCTTTGATTTTTGTATGGAGGGTGTCTCATGCAGTGGAATGATTCCATAGCAACAAATAAATCCTTTGTTATTGAATGGGGGAGAAGGAGTGAAGACGGCAGGTTTTGTTTTTAGTTGTTTCTCAGTGTCAGCCTTAAAAAGTACATTATTATAGTGGACTTTTTATAAGTTAGTTGTATCAAGGACTTTCCTTCTTCAAAGATGTGATATTTGTGTTCTTCATCTTTTCTCTCCCTATGACAGGTTTTTTTTTTTCCTTATTCTTACTGAGGAATAAGCATAGTGGCAGGGAAGCCTATTCATTGCTATAGTTAAACTACAAAGTGAAAGAGCCTCCTTTGTAGATCCTTTTTGGACAGCAGAATTGGCTTTAAGGTGTGCTGATTTAGCGTTCATTCATGGGCCAAATGGACATGCCATTAGAGGTCCTCCATTGCACAGATTTGAAGCATTTTTATTAGACGGATTGAAATGGGCAGGCTCCAAAAGCCACTGGAAGGGAACTGCTTTAGAAATAAACCTTTGTTTGCAGTTATAGGTGATTAAATCCCATGCATTCCATCATCTTCATCTTCTGCCATTACTTACTTTTAATTTTATCCTTTTTTCTCTCAACTTGCCTTTGACCTTCAACCTCTGACATCTCTTTTTAAAAAAGTAAAGATGCAGTATTGTTTCATCAAGAAATAATTCAAGTAAAACATAAAAACAAACCTTTTGGCAGTTCTGCACACTAGGAAAATTGTTCATGAAGCGTCTTTCATTTCAATCCAAGAGAGTTTACCGTCACATTTGCAAAGAGATACTGCTCCCCAGAAACGTGGGACTTCTTTATTTTGTAATATTCCTGAGTTACTTTATAAAGCGGTTGAATTCATTCCTATTCAGTGTAGGTCATTTCAGGATATTGGCCAAACTTGAGAACCCATTCTCTAGCAAGTCTGCGTCAGGTACATATTTGCTCAAAGATATTTTATCTTTATGTCTTAGTCACATCAATTTCTATGCATTACATTGAACACTAATTTCCCATGTTGTCTTTTTTATTAACTAAATCACCCGTTTACGTGGAAGATGGCAAGGAATAAGTCCAGTATTTTATGGGGAATGGCCTAAAATTGCTTCTCAGCTTAGTAAACTAATTTCATCATTAATCGTTGTGTTCTAGCCCCCTGTGGCATTCGATACAGGGAATATTGGAATTCTTCTAGAATTTAGGTGAATATTCCCAGTGAGTGATGCAACGTAGGTAAAATTTATTCGTGTTTTTAATGCCACCACGCTTCTCGATAGAAGAATTGTTTTTAACCTTTGTCTCTTTCCCCTTACTGAAATTGTTGAAGGTAACTAATCACCACTTGGCTTTGCATTTTATCAGCCTTCTCATTATGAGCAAGTCTCTGTTTTACAAAAATGCAGTTGAGCAGCCGATTACTTTCTAATATCATTCTTTAACTGCAGTTGGAGACTATGAAAAACTAAGGGAACATCACAGATGAGTTTCATTTGCCTGCTGTGTAATACAAAAGCACAGCGTATTTGGGGCATTGCAAAATGTGACCATACTATCCTGTAAACAACAAAATGTCGTTGGAAGTAGAATTCAGAAACTTTTCTGCTACCTAAAAGAAATAAGTGATTTCATATTCAAGTTAAAAATATGACTTGATGACCTCACTCGCTAGCTTATTTATTGTAACAGAGAAGCCAGTGGTGAAAATTTCCAGCTTGTTTAGTTGAACAAACAATAAATAGATCTTCTAATGTAAAACAGCCAAATCTCGATTTAACAAATATGAAGAAGAAAGTCTTATCTTTTTTTCTCTACCCCTATTCTATGTCTCTTGGTCCCAAAGTAATGTTTTGGGGAAATTATATGCACAAAACACCTCAAAAGGTTTGACATCTATATTTTAGTTATAATAGTTTAGTATTGCTCAGGATTAAAACAAGTCGTGTATTTTGTTTGATACAAATTAATTTTCGAAAATTAATTTGTATCAAACAAAATACATTAAACCCTTCTATTCCTAATCAGCTACGTTCCCAGTTTTATTCTTTTAGATAAAACAGGTCATGCCCAGAATTTCAGTTAACAACTGTATTTTTTAGAATTCCATGAATTATTGTTATGGTCAAAAAAGAACCCTTAAAATCTTCCAGTTACTCCTTCCCACTCTGGATTATATTGTTACTATCTGGGATCCCCACTGCACCTTTCAATTCTTGGACCTTGGACCAATCACCTTAACCTTTAGCTCATTATCTCTGCTTGTGAAAGCAATGCATTGTGGGTATTTTTGGTTGTGTTTTTTTTTTAATTACATTTCTCTGTTTACTTTGGTCAGAATTGATTGACTTGTTTTTCTGAGGTGTTGCATTGGTTCTTAAAATGCTGAATAATAATACTTTGCATGCTTGTGTGATCAGCCAAATCTTATCGCATGTCTAATGTGCAGGATAAAAAGCAGGTGATGTATGGATATCAGAAAAAAATTTACATATTACTATAAAACTAATAGAAAATACTAAACATAATTTTGAAACAGACTTTTGCCTACGTCCTGCCCTAATGGAATTTTTTGGGTTCATTTTCTTTTCATGTTAAACCCCTCTCCATATGCCAGCCCTCCCCCCGGCCCCCACACACACATATACATGTACACATATACACATATACATACACACATACACACACACATACCTTTTGAAGCTCTTTAAAGAAAAACTTCCTTCTAGGTCAAGCTTATTTTTAAAAATACTCCAGGTTTGAAAAGTTGGTGTTTCCAATCCAGCAGATTTTCGGTAGCTGTATTGGGCCCTCTGGGAATGCTGTTTATTGTTTTAATCTTAATTACCAGCCATGCAGGTTGTTCATTCCAGGTGTGCATTCCTTCCCCTCCTCGCATGTCCCGGAGCTGCCTAACGAGTGTGCACCTTCACATTTTCCTCACTGACTTGCCGTGGCCCCGAGCCCAGGTCATGTATTCATACATCACCTGCCTGTGTAGAGCGCATGTGCATGCTGCCGTCCTCAATAACCGGAATGTGTTTCTGTTCTTTTGTTTTTTGTTTTTGTTTTTGTGTGGATTTTCTGCAGTGTGGTTTACCAGGACGGATTTTACGGTGCTGACCTCTATGTAAGTACACACACTGGGGCCTTCTTGACCCCATCCCCTGACAAGCCAGCCTTTTTTTTTCTGTTTCTTTGGTTTGGTTTGGTTTTTTAAAATATAATTTATTTAATTTTTGTTTTCTTTTTCCTTGTGGATATATATATATATATTTATATATTTAAGAATGCAAGCATGCTTCTCTGCCACTGCGCTTGCCCCTGGGTGCAAAAACTAAGCCTTTGGGTTTCCTGATCATTGCTAGAGTCAGTTTACTGGACATATTCTTTTCCCTTCCCTATACCTACAGATGCTCTGTGGATCACTAATATATTTTTGAGATGATCAGCAGGTTTAAAATCTTTTATTACTGTCGTATCATATGCATACATAAATGGCAGGATAGCTTAGCC